CTTCCTTAGGCACCTCCTTTTATTCAAAATTGTTTCAGTGTGTATGATTAAAAAAAGGTATTCAATTTCTCTGCCTTTCATAGGCATTTTTTGGAACTTAGCGATGGGGACAGGTTTTGTCCATTTTTCAGAAAGTGCCTCTGCCAAGGAGAAATGCATAAAGAAAACAGTATTTCATCTGGATAACCCAGTGTTTCCATTAGAATCACATAATGTCTAATTATGTACTCCATAAATCTTCATATTTTGTTATGAAGCTCCTAATAACAAAGTCTGATAAATAGATTCTCTCCCCTGGCCACTACCAATTGAGTAGAAAAAATACTTATTTATGAAGCTTTATTAATAAAATCTGAATAATTCAAACAGCTTCTTCAGTGAAGAAACAGCATATTCCTATTTGCATATAAATGAAATGATGCTTTAGTGTCAGAGTGAAGAATTAAATAATATGAATTTTTACAGTGCAGTCCTGACAGCCTCATAAATATTATGGTCATAAGTTGCAGTTTCCTAAAAATCTCATTTTATCTTTTATTACAAAAATATGACCAAAGGGCCAAGTCCTACTCATTTTACATGTGTGAGTATTCCCAATGACAACATAATCATTCAGTAAGTGAGGTTACCACATTCAGCCTTATGTCAGCTACTAGAGCAAAATCACAGTGTTATCTACATATCTACTAGGAGACCAGAATCTCTTATTTCAGCATGAGGAAATTCTTGTGTGTTGATAAAATATAAAGAACAACAAAGAAAAAGGTAGCTCTACATTCAAAGAGACAATATACAACATGGTTGATAAAATATAAAGAACAACAAAGAAAAGAGACAATATACAACATGAGGAAAGGAAAAGCACACAGCTAGTACTAAGTTCCAAGAAATGCCTATGAAAGGCAGAGAAATTTAACACCTTTTTTAAATCATACACACTGAAACAAGTCAAGGTTTGCACAAACACTTTCTGCCACAGCAAACTCATCAGCTTACTCAGCTTGGCCTTTTTCAACTTTTCCATTGTGTAGGAGAGCCTACATTCCTTATTAGATTTTACTAAAACATACTTTGTTTGAATGAGACCCAGTTTATAAAAGGTTGAGAATTCCTCTGGTTTTGCCTGAAGTAATTTTTACATCTATTTTTAACTGCCTTTAAATAGGCTTAGAGACTGTTATTGTGGTATGTTTTTTGATATTTGAGATATAGTTGATCAGAAAATGCTGGCAGAGACAGTCACTGACACATCTGAGTGCACTATTCTAGGGCTGCACTCATCTGCATGTGAGAGCAAAGCTGGCAATCTCAGTTTTCCTGGTTAAGAAATGGAAATTGAAAAACAGAAAAAAGGACTATAGTCCCATGGTTTTCAAATAAATCTCTTCATGTTAGTGCAAGACTCATGAGTCCTGAATAATTGAATTTGACAGTATTCCTAAAGGGCACAATAGCATGAAGAGATGTGTCTCAACCTGGTGCCAAAGAGAGCAAACTTTTGCCACAGACTTGTATTGCTAACAAAAAGAGTAATTAGAAGTAGGAAAGCACGTGTCAATTTAGGCTAATGAAAACTGAATAGTACATTTAACAGTCTCTACTGTCATTAAAATAGAATTTTGTCTACATATGTATATGCATACTTCTAATACTGACAGGGCAACAACTGCTCTTATTTGCTCATTTCTAAATAGTTTCTGACTTCTAAGTTTCTAATTTATGACCTGATGTTCTTGGCAGCAAGGGGATGTTAAGGATCTCCTGCCTCTGTTTGTGCTGGATACAATTCATCAATTACCTTCTGGATCTTGCTTATTGTTTTTCTAAGGCTGGAGGACAGCACAAGCACAGGGAGGCTTCTGGTTTCATTGACCTGGGAAGCAGTTAATAGATGTGCTCTAGTGTCAGCACAGATTCTGTTAGGCCTGTCAGCAGACAGACAAGGTTTGATTCAGCTGCAGATCCTGGCAGCAGAGGATGCAATCACACAGCAGTGTTTGGATCCTTTCTTGGCGAGCTCCCAGATGTGGGTTTTGGTGATTGCTTGTCAGCCGTAGGGAACATCCTGCACGGGCCTGGCTTCTCATCCTCATTTCCAACCTAGAGATGAAGCCACGAGAGAAGGCAGTGCAGCAGCCTGGCTCACAGAGCATTAGCTGTGCTGCTTTGTTTGCCAATTTTAGTTAATGCAATTTCTTCTCTTTGCTTTGAGAAGTTCCTGCTGTGGTGCATGCTTGGAACTGGATGCTCAGTGTTGAACAAGAAGATGGAGTGCCCCACGAGTGAAGAAGGAGTTTCTGCTTATCCAAGCCAACAGCAAACAGGGAATGTTTCATGCTACAGCAAAGGCACAGAAGCTGTGCAGATGCAAAGCAGAAGCTATACCTTTGCTTTTTCTAAATTCATTCAAAATAGAGCAAAAATAAGCTAAAGGTACTTAAGCAAGTACTGAGGAAACAGAGTGGAAATGGCACATATAATTTTCTCTCTCCTGTGAAGATGTAATGAAGATTACATGGAGAAAAACATTGGAGGAAACAGAGTGGAAATGGCACATATAATTTTCTCTCTCCTGTGAAGATGTACATGGAGAAAAACATTAATGAGGAGGTGACTTTTGAGAAGATATGAGAAGAGTCATATCCAATTTGACTTAACTTCCTCCTTAAACAGAGGAGAAAGAAGAGGGTAAAAAGATGTAAATGAAAGCAAGCATCAAGGCTGGCATTTCTGGCAGGTTAGAAAGAGTGGGGCAATAAGTTAAGAAACAATATGAGATTATACTACAAAGCCAGTTATGCTCACGGGAACAAAAAAATATAAATTTTACATGATAGAGAACCAGAATCACTGGAAGGATGGCGTGAGAAAGCACAACGTATTTGGATCAATAAGAAAGGAGATAATGGAGAGAAGCTAATGATCAAGCTAGATAAATGACCTGTGTCTAAATGAAAGTAATTTTAGGTGTTGAAACCAAGATGAATTGAAACATTGCAGGGAAAGAAACGAGGATCTTGATAATAAGGTATAAAGAAAGCAGATTTCTTGCAGTATGAAAGTGTAACTGAAGTGATGAGGAGGGAGTTAGTATGGATATGACTGACAGAGAAGTGCCAATAACAGGAGCTGCATTGAAATGGTGGTGATTTGGTATTCCACATGAGGCCAACTGCAAGGCAGGGAGGCCAAGGAAGTTGGATGAAACTTTGACCTGGCCAGGAGGCAGCAGAGCTAAGTATGCAACCTGTAAATAATCAGCAGCAATTTTGCAAGTATTAACTGGCAAACAGAATTCCTGGTTCAACAGCATTCAGAAATGGCTGTAGGTAAGATTGTCCCAAGAGGTTAATTTAGAATGATGTTGCTTGTCATTAGCACTAGGACAGACCTGCACTCATGAATGCCCATGGTGCCCTTTGAACTCCTGTAAGATTACATGGATAAAAGAAAGAACAGGATTTGGCCTCCATTATTTTGTCATGATACCTAATTTAATTAATGTTCAATATAATCTGCTTTTAAATTCAGTCACACTTAACTGAAATTAACTTCACTAAATCTCAAGCTGCTGTACTGACTTCTTAGAGCCCTAAACAAAAAGTAGAAATGAGAACAACTGTAGGAAAAGAAAAACCCACACATCAAACCAAAACCTATTAAAACAAAGAAGCTCAGCAACTCATTTCAGCCCCCTCCTTCTAAAATGTGTAATAGGAAGCACAGCTTAACAAAAGTGGTGGAACCTGTTTCTGCATTTAACAATTTGTTAGCCCAAGTACAGCTTGTTATAAGGTAAAGCCAAGCTAGAACATTGCCTTGGCAACTTTGGCAACCCTGGGCATGGTTGTTATTTACCAAGGGCTGCAGTTACAGATCTCTGCCTGAATTATGCAATAAACAAGATTATTTCGGTTCATATTCTAGTGAACAAGAGATCTATGTATTATCAAGTGCAGTGGAGCTACTCTTCAACAAGAGTAACATTCTTTTATCTTTTAAAGAAGTATTGACCAAAAATGGGTAATAGACAAGAAGGGCTAAATTCTTTCATTTACAAGCATACAACTGTATTAGTTTCAATAAAACCCAACTACTCCAAACATCAGGAAACATTACAGTGAACAGCTGAAATAATTCCACTGAGTTTCCTAGTCCTACTCGTTGCTGGTCAGCAGTTACAGCTCAGGCCAGAGCCAAGGTGCAAATTTAATGTTGTATTGTGTGCGATCCTTTTTGTTGTGTACTCGGGCAGTACGGCAAAGCTGCCAGCCAAGCCCCGGTACAAAGGCGCAGCCATTCCTGGGCCTCTGGGTCATCTGGCTGGATTTATAGCAGAGCTACACAGAACAATAATTGACTGGGCCCTTGGGGTGGGATTATTGGCAATAGCCCCACGCAGCACACGAAGCCCGAGGGACAAGCACCGCTCCCCGCTCCGGTGCCGGGGCAGGGCGGGCAGCGCCGCTCCCGGGCCGGGCCGGGGCCACAGGCCGCGCCCCGCCCCCTGC